GGGCGGACATCGTTCTCAAATCCGTCGTGATCCGCAATCATGGGAACGGAATCCTAGATAAAACAATACAAGAGTCATCTTACAATTACATTTGAATGTCGACCTGCTTTAACCGCCTTAGGACAAGAACTTTGTCAATGGTGAGTGAGTCAATAAACAGTAGGACTAAGAAAAATCACACGTACATGACACATTACGGAGGATTTGCGGGTTAACTCAACTGTATCGAATAACGACAGGTAGATAGCTACAGTGGAGTACACTATGCCCGTATCGAGACGAGGGATTCGCCACTAGGGCTTTGTTCAGATGACTCAAACAGAACTTCTACTTGATGTGTTTATCATAGGTTCCATTTTCACGCACATTCGTCTGCTCATCCAGTCACACACATGGGAAACACTAGACTCCAGTTTCACTCCACTTAGAGCTCATCAGAAATGCACATACACCTTCGCGTCTGGACTTTGAACTCTGAACCCAACACACAGAAGTTGTGTTACCAGGGTCTGAACCAGCCCACGCCGACGCTAACCATACTTTCTATTTCATGTTGGAATATGAAATAGAAAGTATGGTTAGCGGGAGTGAAACTAGAGTCTAGTGATTCCCGAGTGTAAGGTTGACTGGAAGAACTCAGGATGGCGCGTGAAGATGGGACCTGCAGGATAGTCAATTCAAATCCTACTGTACTACTCTCCAGTAACTGTGAGTTAAATGGGAATCAAAGAGGCTAATTTATCATCAACTGTAGGTTACAAATTCATATAACCGCAGATCTGCGGATAAGTAGAAGAGACTGATACATCAATATGCTTTCTGGAAGTTATAACATACAAATCAATACCTACGACCAATTTTGAAGGTTGCAATTACAAACATATGTATGCCACTAAGATACATTCGATGCTTCCACCACAATCGCTAAATTGCATTCATCAGTTCAAAACGATGGTCCCTCAAATACCGTTTCTCAATCACCACAAACGATTTTCTCTCTTTGAGATGAAAACGAAACACTGAATGGGAGCCAGTTGGTGAGCACAGTACGGAATAATACAAGACCTGATGGCGCTGTTGTGTGTCATGTTCTAAAAATAATAACCATTTCAAGGTGAATTGGAACACAGAAGGAATATCCCATCTGGAACAAAATGCACGGAGAACAGAACAACTACTGAATTATCACAGGTGATCACAACGGCATTCTGACAAAGGAGAAACGGATTTCCGCGAGCCTGAAAAAGCCGCACTGAAAGACCAACTGCACCCCTTTTTTCCTTTATGTTGCTTAGCCCTTTTTGATGAAACAACTGCATTACCTTGAGCTTGGCAAACGAAAACTTATTAAGGCAATAACTTTGGAAGAGGAAGCACTCAGTGACAGTATTAATTTATATAAAACGGTCAAATCTGACCTCTTGATTGGAGTCTTGATGAGACAGGTAATCAACGGACAGATGCACAGAGAGAAGAAAAAAGGCATACATCTCATACACTTTATGTCAGTGTAGTGACACTAGTAATCCATGTCCAACTAAATCTGACAGATCGATCCGAATCGATCGGCTCGTGGTGTGTGGCTGAACCCGATGGTCGTGCGAAAGACGCACTTTTACAACGACGTGAAAACCTCCGACACCATCTCGCACTCGCTTGCTCGTGTGTCTCTCGCACTTGCAAGTCAGCCTTAGTTACCAGCGCGCACACAAATAAACAAAGCCTTTGAAACCCACCACAGTTAATATTATCACTACTGATTCAAGTAGTAGACGGAAAATTGGCGGTGAGTGGTGGGAATACAGACGAGAAACAAAAGATATAGACGGATGATGCAGGTACACAAAGTGGATAATAAAAATCTGTCGAGAAATGTGCGCGCAAATATATAAAGCTGATAACAACTCAAACGCAACATCCAAGTCAATCAACCAAAATGAAAACAAATTCGACCCATAAATATTCGTAAGCTAACTAATCACATACACAAAAGGTAGGAACGAAATGCATGAGCTTGACATTCCAGAGTGAAATTTGCGAAATGCAATGTAACGTAACTGAGAACTGAAAAGTTTCAAACAGAACAGCTGGCTCCTCCCTTGTTAGGTCGCATCAACAACACTAGGACTCTATCGAGCTCACTGAGCATCAAACCCAGAAACTAATGCACGGACAGAACTGCGAACATTATATCCGATCGCGTACGCGTCACCAATAGACGGAGAGATAACTTCAATCCGACCGGGATTTATAGATCAGTAAGCGGTTTCGTCCTGTTCACAGAGTAAACTGAAAGTGCATTGAAAAACTAGGAA